AAGTATTAGTCATAATTCATCTCCTAAAATTTTAGCTCGATCCGTCTGATGCAAAAAAGTCGATTTTTCAATCTCACTCATAATGTTATTGACTTAACAGTTCTAGAGGATTAATTTATGTTTAAAAAAAACTTGCTAACCCAGTTCTGGACATGTTAAAGAGTACGGTTTATATAGGAACCCAATATGAAAAAAAGATATTTAGATTAGAAGTGAGAAAGCTTGTAATTAAAGAAAGCGAAATAGAAAGAATACATTCGTCTAGCAAAAACAGAACATTTTCTGAACGGAATATTTTTGCTCTCTGAAAGCAAATTGAATAAGAATAGGAAATCTACATTGCATTAGAAATATTCATAAAAGAGTTGTATCTGTAAGGAATTGACATGCGTAAGAGAAGCAGAAAGATTCAAGTTAAAACATAGATTTACTGTTTTATAGTGAAGTCTACAAAATTGCAATGAACACGAATGTATCCGCTGGCGAAAAAAAAACTGTTTTTCCACTCGTAAATTGACAAGGTTCTTTTCAGACTAGAATTGCAATGGAATAATTCAGTTTCATTTTTTATACCGGTAAGTTTTCATTGTTCTATTGTAGAACGGAATTAAAGACATCAAACAATAATGGGCAATGCAACCAGCTGTACCAATAGACGCTTATCGTCCCAAACACATATTGCGTTGCCGACATCTTTAACCGATCTAACCAATGATCAAGTAAACATAGAAGATTTTTCTCTCGTTCAGCTCGATAATCTATCAGATCTTTTGAATGAACGCATAATGGCACGTACAGCCCGATTACGAAACATTATACATTGCATAAAAAGTTTTCAGAATAGCGATGCATGCGTTACATACATTCAATCTGTAAAGCGTGAGAAAATATTTTTTATTGTCTCTGGTACATTAGGTAAACAAGTTTTACCTGAAATACATGATCTCAGTCAAGTTGCATTTGTCTACATATTTTGCGAAAATCGACTTGCTCACAAAAAATGGTCTCGTCAATATTCTAAAATTCATGGAATTTTCATCGAAGAAGTATCTCTTTTAGCAAAAATTAACGATGATGTAATGGCCTATATGAAAAATGTCACTCCCATGTCCATATTTGACGTACGAAAACAAAAATCTGTAAAACAATTAAATAAAGAAAATGTAAATTTTGTATGGACACAAATTCTACTTGAAAATCTTATTCGAATGCCTCGTACTGATATTGACAAGAGCGATATGCTGGGTGAATGTCGAAATTATTACAAATATAATCCAAAGGAAATTGAGAAAATCAACGAATTCGAGCAAGATTATGACTCTGAGTTTGCAATATGGTGGTACACCCGTGACTGTTTTGCCTTTCGTCTATTGAATAAGGCATTGCGTATAGAAGATATTGACATGCTCTACAAATTACGATTTTTTATAACAGACGTATACAACAAACTTAGTGAATTACATAACGAATTCATTCAAAAAAGTCGAGAGCATTCTTCGAATTTAATTGTATATCGTGGTCAAAGTATAGCGACTGATGAATTTCGAACAATTCAAACAAATGTCGGCAATATTATGTCGATAAATACGTTTCTATCGACAACAACAGATAAAGATGTTGCTATTATGTATGCTGGAAATGGATCGGAGCGTCCTGCATTGGAATCACTCATCTTCGAAATAAACGTCGATATGGCAATAGAAGAAAGCAAACCTTTTGCCAATATACAACATATGAGTTACTTTCATGACGAAAATGAAGTACTATTTTCCCTTGGAGCTAGTTTTCGAATAATGAGTGTCGATAAGTTGACGGAAAATCAAAATGTAAATTATGTGAAATTGGAACTATGCACTCAGCAGACTCAACAAACACAAAAATTGAGAGAAGAAATAATTGAAACGCTAGGAGAAGACTACTCCTTGAGCACTTTTGCTGACGTTCTCAATGAAATGGGTTATTACAACAAGGCTGAAGTCTACTATAAGATGGAACTCGAACGAGTCATTCTTACCAATGATAATGAAGCTCGTTCAGATCTGGAAATAATATTGGGAGAGCTTGCAAGAAATAGAGGTGATTTACTGGCATCATTCGATTATTTCAATGGAGTCTTAGCTCGGACATCGCCAACCGATTATATTCTACTTGAGAAAATACACCAACATTTAGGTCATACTTGGCATAATAAAGGAGATTACGAACAGGCTCTAGCAGAGTATCAAAAGGCTCTTGATATCGCAGAGCAACATCTATCAACAGACACTGTTACGCACGCTGACACACAAATTTATATAGGCCGTGTTCATCGAACGCTTACACACTATCAAGAAGCAATAGATTTCTATATGAAAGCAATTGATATATTAAAGCTATCGGTGTCTGAGGACTCTTCTGAATATATTTTTGTTTACTATGAACTTGGTGTGTTATACCTTCATGTTCATGATAAGGGCGAAGCATTACGTCATTTTATTCACGCATTAGACATTCAACTGTCACATTATCCTCCAAACCATCCAACTACGCTTCAACTTCACAGAAATATCAGCACTATTTATCCCGATATTGGCAAATATCCAGCTGCCATCCGCAATCTATCACGCGCACTTGAAATTGAATTCACAAAAGTACCTCGTGATTATCAGATGATCATAGCTATCTACATCGATACGGCCAAAATGAATATCAAACATGATCCAGAACAGGCATTGATCCACTGTAGTCAAGCACTCGAAATTATCAATAACATATTGCCTAACGATCATAATTTACGGGGTAGTGTTTACAGAACGCGTGGTTTGATCTACACCGAAAAATATAGCCACTATTTGGATATGAAAAGACTGAAAGTACATATCGCTCGACTAAAGTTTAATAATTCTGAAAAGAATACTGATGCAGCTGCTGATCGGGCTTGGAGAGGAAAGCAACTCTTCCGCTTGGCCATGAAGAACTATAAAAAAGCAATAAAACAATTTCACATTGATGGTTCAGATTTAGATGTAGAATTAACTCTATCGAGTATGGCTAGCATGTATGGTGAACTAGGAAGTCATTACATGAGAAAAAAAAAACTATAAACGAGCACTTACAGCGTTTCGACGTGAACATCAAATTGAGATACAAGCAAATTCAGAAAACATTGAACTGTTAAAAGTATTGAATGAACGTGAAATTGAAACGAAAGAATATGTTCGCTTACATAAATTTGATATTTTTAAATGTTTTCGTTCACAATCATTTCGACAACGTTTAGAGGAAGATCGGAACAAACTGCCTCAACATTGTCGAGCAAATATTCCGGGCTTTTTAGAAACACTTGGTCATGTCGACGAGTTATTTAAAGAACGAAACGTTACTAATCCGAACGAAAACTTTGAAAATCTTTTAGAAAATGTTATCAATCATCTTTGGGAAATTCCTGCAGATCCTTTATTGACAGTATCCGAGACAACTTGTGCCAATGCATCATCTTTAACAACGACTTCGGACGTTGCACATCCAGTAATAAGTAAAGAGGAGTAACAGTACTCAAATACTGAGTCGCTTGTAAATAATCATTTGTTTAAAAAAATAAAGATTTTTTCGAAACGTGAATGGTTTTTAGCACAACCGTAGGGTGTGGGTGGGGGTGGGGGTGGGGGTGGGGAAGGGGGTGGGGTGTGTGGGTGTGGATGGTGTGGGTGGTGTGGATGTGGGTGTGCTCGTAGCTTCCGTGCATTTCTTGACCTACACCAACACTCACATCCTCACACACCCGCACCAACACCCACACTCACATCCACACCCACACCCAGACCCACACTCACACCCAGACCCACACTCACACCCACATCCGCACCCACACCCACACCCACACACCCACCCACCCACACCCACCCACACCCACACCTACCCACACCCACACCCTCATCCACACACCCACACCCACCCACACCCACACCCACACCCCTAAAATAAGTAAAGATAAAGATTCATTTAATTGTTAATAATAATAATAATAATAATAATAATAATAA